AGTACATTTTGTCATTTCCTTCATGTACAGTGCTATGTGGTAAAAATGTAAAGCTGGCTTCCTGAGGGAAATGCTTTGATTTATAGTGTCTGCTGGTCTCCATGGCATAAACACTCCCACCATGGTGACTTATCAAGCTCTCAGTATGATGACGCTGAAAGCAGAGCTAGGCAGAGAGGCACAAAGTGAGTTTTGTTTTATTTTATTTTACTTGACTACTGGATTCAACCCAAGGCCTTTGCACTGAGCTACATCTCCAGCCCTTTTTGTATTGAAGCAGTTTCACTAAATTGCCCAAGCTGGGTTGAAAATGTGATCTTCCTGCCTCAGCCTCCCAGAGTGCCGAGATTACAGGCATGGGCCACCACACGCAGCTCATCGTGAGTTTTGTGAACCGGAACAACTCAGCTTCAGCCCACCACCACCACCATGCCCCACCCAAAATGATCTCTGCCACCCTAGTCCCTCCCTGAGGCTACCACTGCTTTCTGTTACCCCAGAACAGTTTTTCTTAAAGTTTCATTTAAGCTGTCCCTCAGTATTTAACAAGAACTTGTTCTAGGATCCTGCTCCACACCAAAATCTGCACGTTTAAATGCTTCATATATAATGGTGTGGTATTTTCATGGAACATATGTACATTCTCTTGTATATTTTAAAATCATCTCTAGATGACATATGCAATGTAATGCTATATAAATGTCATGGTTTTGTTTGGGAAATAATAAGAAAAATGTCTGCGTGCTTTATACAGATTTTTGAAACAATATTTTTGATCTGAAGTTGGTTGAATTTGTGAATTTTGATCTGAAGTTGGTTGAATTTCTATAGAACCTGTGGGTACAAAGGGCTGACAGTATGTATTTTTCTGGCTTTTTTGTTCTGTACAGTTTTGAGATTCTTTCATTATCATTGCATGCATCGATGGTCTGCTCCTTTTTACCATTGAGTAGTGATCCACTGTGTGGAATTCTGTAAGTTATCTAATTTCCTGTTGATGGACCCTTGGACACAGACTGTCCTGAACACTATGCAAGTTTTGCAGGAACACATTTCTGGGTCAGTTCCTACGTGTAATGGCTGGGTCTTACGGCAGGTGTGTATAGATAGCATCATGAGCAAACTGCCAGACCCAATTGCCAGGGGCTGTATCATTTTTGTACTTCCCTCAGCCAAATATGTGTGCTCCGGCTGTTCCACATCCTCACCAGGACTTGCTGTTGTGGGAATCTGGGTCCACTGTGTGCGGCTCGGAAAGAGGAATTTACAATGAATAGAAGTTCATCAGCTCACATCTGGAGGCTAGGAAGTCCAGGGTCAAGGTGCCAACAGATGGCTCAGGTGTTCTTGCTCCAACATAACATGGCAGAGGGTGTCACACGGTAGAAGGGGAGAGAAAGCAAGGGCACAAGAGGGGATGAACCCACTCCTGAGATGAGAAACCCACTCTCGAAATAGTGGTCATTCATCCATTCCACGTGGCCAAATCACCTCTAAAAGGCTCACTTCTCAGTACCCTCATGATGGCAGTTCAGGTCCAACATGAGTTTAGGGGAGGATGAATACTCAAATGATAATGCTTCACTCTGAAAAGAGTCCTTTGAGTGACATAACTGTGTAGTCTGGTTTGGGAACCACTGGCCTGAACTCATTGCTAGTCTCTTAATAACTAACATTTATAGAGCACTTATCCAATGCTGGGTCTATCCCAAGAGCTGTAACAGCGTCATACTATTTAAGCCTCACAACAGCCCCATGACCTACTATTGCCATTATCATTCCTACTTTACACAAGAAAAATTAGGTACAGAGAGGTTAAATAACTTGCCTAAGGTCGCTGCTAACAAAGACAAAAGCTGGGCTTCAAAACAGACAGTCTGTCTTTGAGTTCATGAGTTTAAACGTGGATCCATACCTGCCCATTCATCTGCTCTTTTTAAAATTACTTGTGCTGCCAGGGATTTGACTCAGTGGTTCTTACATATTTTTAAATCATCTCTAGATAACATATGATGCCATGTAAGCACAAGGGCCCAAGTTCGACCCCCGGTACCATAATAATAATAATAATAATAATAATAATAATAATAATAATAATAATAAAAACAAAATTACTGGCACTGCATTGGGCTTAATCAATAATTGTTGCCATTATATGTATTCAAATGCCACCCATTCTTCAGAGATCAGCTCAAAATCTCCATCTTTCATCAAGTTTTCTGACTCCTTCACCCTCCTCTTTGTCCCAGTGGAACCCCTCAGTGTAACCATAAGTCCCTCAGAAACACATGAGACTTTGGATTGTCTATTATTTCTGTATTTTTGTTGTCGCCCATTTGACTTGTAGGGTCACTAAGAACAGAGTCACTCTGTGTTTTTTGTCTTTCTATTCCTGGCATGATCGTTGGCTTAAACTTAGTGTTTTTCTACATGGGCTATAAGCAGAATCACTGAAGTCCTTTAGAAGGAGCTCTCTCACTGGGAGATAACAAGAAGTAGACATTGGATGGCTTTCTCTGTAGGAAAAACAGCAGCAGCACGGTCCTATACTAGTGGAAATGAGTGAGCTGTCACTGCAGGCTGGGGGCAGCATGGTATTGGCAAGGAAGCCCTTCTCTCCTTCCTGGATGCCTCTTCACAGACCTCTGCTTGCCTTTGGGGTCTTGACCTACTGGTTAATTTCTAACTAGTAGCAAGACTGACAAATCATGATCAGCATTTTCTTCCATTCTCATTTATGAAAAGCTAGATAATTGCAGGGCCCAGTGAAAAATGAAAATGCAGGGCTTCTGTTAAGAACCTATAAAAAATTTCCAGATGGAAACAGAAGGCATTGAACCAAGTGTGGAATTCACCTGATTGCATGGGACCCATGCTCTTGAAGGCAGTTTTCATGAAAGGGGCCAGAGCCCTGCTCAGTAGACAAAAAAGCAATCACAGGACACTGAGCATGGAGACAATTATCCCCCAAGCCCTCAACCTCTCTTCTTTATATAAAGATAGCCGTATTCTGTGTTATATTGGGGGTGGGTTGTCAGCAAACTCCCAATGGTTACGGGACACATCGTGTCCTCCAAATAGAAGTTGAAAGTCCTAGCCCCAAGTATTCATGCATGTGAACGTGCTTGGAAACAAAGTCTTTGTAGATGGTCAAGATGAGGTCCTCGGGATGGGCCTTGATTTAATATTCCTATAGACAGCTAAGTTAGATCAAGATGAACAGGCAGTCAGAGAGGGATCAGGCCTTCAAAGGAGTGCAGAAGATGAAACACTTCAAAACTGTGGCCAGGAGTGAACCAAAGAGAGCCAGGCCTGCAGGCCTCCCTAAAGATAGACAGTAGCTTGAGAATGTACTGTAATCAGAACCACCTGGTCCATTGAGCCTAGATAAGCTGTCAGATGTACAAGTGGGTGACCAGAACACCCTGACCCAGAGTCCTTTTCCTTCCCCCAAATGCCTTTGATCTTTATATGCCAAAGTTATAGGCAAGTTGAAGTTAGTGGCGCCCACCATATACTCTCCTTATTCAAGTGCCTCTGTCCCTATAGGATCAATATACTTGTAAGCCCAGCTTAGCCCAGAGTGGTCTGAGACTCTTTGTCAACGAGTTTTCAGGGGGTTGGAACCCCTCCTGTCTCTCAGGAGCTTTCTCTCAACAAACTTTTCCTATTCTTAACTTCCTTTGATCTCATATCCATTCTTCAGTTATCTAGAGACACAAATTCAGCACATCTGATACCTAACAGGTTGGGAGTTATTTCTCTGTGATGATATGATTGGTATCCTTATAAAAAGGGGAAATTTGGACAGAGACAGATGTGCATAGAGGGAAGATGGCGTGACGATGCAGAACTGCCACTTGACTAGGAAGGCAAAGAATGCCGAGGATTGCCAGCCAACCACTGGAAGTCAGGAGGGAAACCCTGAACAGTCTCCCTCACAGCGCTCAGAAGGAACCAACCCCAACCATCACCTTCATCTCACAACTCCAGCTTCATAACTGCAAAAATAAATTTTCGTTAATTAAACCACCTGGTTTGTGCTTCTTTGTGGCAAATGTAGCAGACTTATACACTCCCCAACCAGAGCAGACTCCTCCCGTTACCCTTTTACCCTGGGCAAGCTTCTCCAAAAAAAAAAGCAACAACACCAAAAACACAAAACCATTCCCCAAAGGGACTGGATAAGGCCAGAGCAGCGTCAATTTTTTGTTTTGTTTTCCTACAGAGGGAGTGCCTACAACAGAGAGGCCTTTGTGGTCTGTTTTGGAAATTTGATATCCCCGCCCTCTGTATTTCAGCCCCGTTTTAAAAGGAAGCAGGTGCTGATATCCTACAAATGATCCCCCTTTCAAGTGTGCCCTAGTGTAGGCTGGAGTCTGGTCATGCATAATGATACTGTCCCATACTTGAGGGGTAACGTTCAAGTTGAGTCACAGGTAAATTGGTACCAACGGCTTGGAGGTACAAGCCAGCCGATTCCGGTGCTCCCAGCGCGCATGCGCGACACCCCGGGGGTGGACTCGCGCTGTCAGCCGGGCGTCCACGTCAGCCCAGCAGCCTAGGGCCGGGTCGGGCAAGTTTCCCAGGGGACAGGTCGTGAGGCCACCTGGGGACCAGAGAGGGAAGTGAGTTTTGGTGGCTGGGGTCAGACAGGGCGGGGTGCTGCTTTGTGAGGAAACAATTTGCAGACTGGTAACTGGGAGTCAACCAGGACCTGCGCTCAGGCGCCTTCAGCAATCCGAGATAGGAAGCCGGGTCTCCAAAGTGCCGGACCCCCTGCAAGCCGCAGCAAACCCATATATGGCCGCTGAATCCAGGCTTCGGGTCTGCAGCCCAGACTCTGGATGACATACAGGCCGCGAGTTACATCAGCCCGCGCTCACGTCGTCATCCCGCCCTTCCACAGCCTAGTTCCCAGCGCTGATTGGGCCACGTTGATCAGTGACTTCTGCCTCAGCCAATAGGTGGCAGCCACAAAGAGTTCTATCTGCGGCCCTGGCCAAGGAGCGTCTATAAAAGGCGCAGGAGGTCAGGGTACGCGCCCCAAAGACTTGAACTGTCCTTGCTGCTCGTTGAGCGGTTGAGACGCCCCTTCGTGTTATCTCGGAGCTTAGCCGAGCCCGTAGCGCCGTGGACATGGAACCTGAGCCCGACTCGGAGCCGGTCACGCTCCTAGTGAAGAGCCCGAACCAGCGTCACCGCGACTTGGAGCTGAGCGGCGACCGCAGCTGGAGCGTGGGGCACCTCAAGGCCCACCTGAGCCGCGTCTACCCCGAGCGCCCGGTGAGAGGGGCCCCTGGGGGTGCCACGTCCACCTCCGCTTTCCTGTAGCCTCGCCCTCCGCCGGCTGAACCCAGACTGCCTGTACCCGCCTGGTCACCCTCGCAGGGCTGTGGTCCCCGCTTCCTGCCCTACCCAGTGGCTGTCATCTCGTTCTAAGCCGCCGTCACTCCTTCCCGATGGGCTGCCGACCCCAATCACCTCGCCTCCCCGCGATCCTCAAACCCCAAGGCTGTCACGGCCTGGCGCCACTCCCCAGACCCCTCCCTCGTCTTCCAGATGTGGCGTCCAGCCTTAGCCAAACCAGGAAAATAGCAGTTTGACCTTGGATGAGTCATTTCACCCTCCAAGCCTCAGTTTCCCTCAAACAACTAGGCGACTAGGTATTCTGATGAGGCTTGCATCATAGAGATTTTTTTTTTAATGGTGAGAAAGGAGTTTTCTGAATGTAGCCTCGCAGCTGGGAGAAGAGAGTCCCGGTGTGCACCCCAGGCTGGAGAATCAGCGGGCGCCCAGGTCCCACGCCCAGAGCGAGACGTGGATCTTGCCCTGTCCGTCCACCTTCCTCTGGCTGCCCCTCCCTGTCGCTCTGGACTCGACCCATTTCTTAGATCCAAGAGGAGCCCTGTGTACTTTTTAGCAAAGGGCGATTTAAGAAGGAAGCAGTTGCTCTGAGACTGGTTTGAAGACTGGTTCCTGGATTAGGGAGACTTCCTCGCTTTGTTTTGGTGGACACAGCTGTCAGCAGCACTCTGAGCACCGCCCTTCCTCCCTCCCTCCCTCCCTTCCAACCACGTGACGAGGCTGTGCGCCGGACCTTTCCGTATTTACTTTGTACTCTGATATTATGTAAGTGTCAGCAGTGTTCTCTGCTGCCCACGAGTGTAATTCTCGATCACACAGGAGAGGGCATCCGGGCAGCAGAAGGAGGAAAATGTGCATTCTTGTCTGAAGCCTTTAGTCTGTAGTAATGAATGTGTCAGTTTAGTTTTGTTCCATATTATGAAGAATGTAGAAGTGAGTTTTCCTTCTGAGTTGTTGTCCTGGGTGTTCCTCATTTATTGGATCGGCTCCAGTTCGAGTGCCCTGTAGAATTCACCTCGGCACTGCCCAGGTGGCATTTGTTGCTGAGAGACCTGCTGTTATGCGCACAGCTGGCTAGTCTGTGGTTGCATCATTCATAAAAGGCCTTTTTTGGAGGACTTTCCCTTGAGAAACATTACTCCAGTTTCTTGAGTCTGAAGCCCTAGATTGTAAATAAAAGATCTCCTCAGGTACACAAATCTATGCTTAAAAATTGTTATGGTGGAAACATTTTCTGTAGTATAAAATGGCATAATGTGAGAAGTTCTCCTTTATATTGTCTGCTTAATGTATTTGTTTTTTCCAGTCAGACTTGTAGGTAAGGGCTGCCAATTCAGGCCTCGGGGAAACAATTGAAATCCATAGGGAGCAGTGGTTTTCAAACTTTTTTTGTTGTTTGTTTGTTTGGTGGTTGACTCCACATTTACAACAGTATTTACAACTTGTGAATTCATGTGTATAATATTTACCTGTAATGTCAGTCAGGAGAATAGTAGGGAACACAGCATTCAGTATATTTTTACACAGTATATTTTGTACATAGTGTCAAAAAGTCCTCATGTCGATAAGTAAATGCAGGGTTTTTTTAATGTGTTTTAAACAGCCTGCTTCACAATCTCAGGTTATTTGGTGAGAATGTCTAGTTTTATTCCAAGTTTTGCTTAATTGATTATTTTGGCAAGAGCGATCAATCACCAAGTTGGTCTTCAGTGTATTGACGCTGGTGTACATAATTTGAAACCATTGGTTAAAGCACAGTTTAAAAAGGAGTTAAAATAGTTTTAAAGGTAAGGTTTGTATAAAAATGTGTTGCATGCCCATGACTTTAAAGCCACTTTTACAGCAGGCAACTTTGCATGAGTTAATTTCTCAGACTCTTCCCCCTTACTTTAGGGATACTAATTCTTATGCGGTGATTGTGTGAAATGTTACCCACACGTCCTGTTTATAACTACATTTGAATGTCAAGAAATCCTCTGTGGCTTATTTTAGAGTTGCTTCATGCTAATGAGGCAATATTTAGGTGGTTTGGGTGAAGACCTAACATGGAAATCTTCTAAGTTTTCTCTGAGATCAAACCTCGTATTATAGTTATTTGCTAGGAGCCCCAAATACAGTTTGGGTTTTTAAAGAAAAACACAAACCCAGTTTGGGTTTTTAGTGGCAGAAGGCAGTCTTCCTGGGAATTAAGTCAAGTATGTTGCCATAATTTTTGTGGACTGGAGATAATTTGCCATGCTATGTTTAATTGCATGTTAGAGATCAGTTTAAAGTTAAGCACTTTCTAAATAAAAGTTGTGTAATAAGTGAGGTCTTTCAGTTTTCCTATGATGCTGGAGGAAAATATACATATCCAGATTATTTGCATGAAACAATTCCATCTGTGTTTGGAAACTTGTCAAGCTAAGTGTTGACTTGTGTTATTCTTTCTTTCTACCATCAGCGTCCAGAAGACCAAAGGTTAATTTATTCTGGGAAGCTGTTGTCAGATCACCAGTGTCTCAGGGACTTGCTTCCAAAGGTACTTAGTGTTACTTACACATTAATTTTGGAATGTTTTAAAGCATTCTGCTAGGTTGAATTGCTAAGGTCTTAAGGCATTTCTTTGTTGCTTTTAGCAGGAAAAACGACATGTTTTGCATCTGGTATGCAATGTAAAGATTGCCTCAAAAATGTCAGAAACCAGCATAAAGGTATGTACTTTCATGATTGTAACAGTTTGTGTCTTTCATAGTCAAGGGAGGAATAAAGGAAGGTAGAAAGAGATTCTTAACAATGGTTTTGTAGCTTTTTACTAAGTAATATTTTGTTTCTTTCTGAGGGTGTATCAGGAATTAGAAACTGTTACCAACATAAAGGAGTGCTCACCATAGCGACAGTAAACTATGGTTGGCACTTGTGGGAAAGTGGAGCTTACCTTACACTGACTTCTGGGATATAATCTGACCAGGGTTACTGTGCACCTAGAAGACTGAACTAGCAGGGCACTTGAAAATGGGTTCTTACTGAATTTGGCACCAAGCAAGTTTCTTCTGAGGAAACATTACTTTTTATAAAGAGTAAAAAAATGAATATATATTTCTCCCTTCCAAGTACTAACCAGGCCCGACTCTCCTTAGCTTCTAAGATCAGACCAGATTGGGCAGGATGGTATAGACTGAATATATATTTTTGGAAATTTTTATCACAATTATTTATTTGAATAGGAAAAAACCAGTGTTTAGTATGTGATCTTAAAGAAAGACGTGTTTTACAGGGTTTTTTTCCTCATTGAGTTCATTGGTACATTTTAGGTATACAGTATAGTTACATTCATTATTGGGATCTTGTACCTTTGCATGACAGGTCTTGGTTCTCATTTGTGTTTTACAGTTTACAAACATTTATTTTCCATTCACAGCATTTATTTGAATATATAGTTATTAATCTTCTAATGCGGTGGTAACTCTAAATTTGTATTACAATTGTGCTTCCCAAAATAGCTGAACATCGAAAATTCTCTCCCTTAGGTTGCTAGCTGGGTTTTACTTATAAATCTTGGTCCAATTTAATTTTGAGGGTTAGTAAGTTTAGTACCACTAGATGTGTAGAACACTATCAGGAAGCTTTTCCACTGATGATACCTTCCTCGGAAACTGCAAGCATAAGTACTTTCAGAAAAATGCCTCAATTTTTAATGTATACCCAGCCTCACACGTGCTGGGCAAGTACACTCCCACTGAGCCACATTCCCCAGCCCTAGTATCTATATATTGAAAATTGCATATTTATTTATTTATTGTGTTGTTATTTTTGGAGTAACACTGAATCTATTTAATTTTCCAGGCTTAGGGGTGAGGGCAGGGTCATGAGCCGTATACAGCAGAAGGATTTTTTTAGCCCTATTTCAGACAGTTGCATCAGGTCCTTTGTTCTGATATCCATATCTCACTCAGGTTGCCGAATCCACAGAGCAGCCCCAGGGACCTAATCAGGGACAGTATCTTGGGGATTCCTCAAGTGATGGTGTACGGCAAAGGGAAGTTCTTCAGAACCTTTCTCCCTCTGGATGGGAGAACGCCTCAAGGTGAGTGTTAATAAAGAACCAGGTTTATGCAATATGTCCCTTGTTTGCATCAATTTAAGAATAAACTATTTACACATGTGTAATCAGAGAGCAATAAGATGTGCAGTTTTGCTTTATAAAAAGTGTCACTTTAAAGATGATTGTTTATCTTTTCTTAATACACAGCCTTTTAGAAACATTTTTTAAAAAGGAAGAAATGCGTGTATTGAAAATATAAGCATTTTAGTTGGCCACGTGGGTGTTTCTCATGGTGCCCTCCACTTGCCTGCCCTCACCGTGGGAAATTAGCTTGCTGCAGAAAACCCAGCTGTTGTAAGCACTGTGCAGCTGTTTTGCTGAACAGCTTTGTGCTTTTGCTTATAACAGGGAGTTAAAAGGTGAAGGGAACAGGTGAAGTGTTTTGCCAAGGACCGTGTTGGCAGCACTAGGGGAAAGCCACTTCTTCAGCACAATTCGTTTTTATCTTTAGATCAAAGCTGGAAGTGATTACATGCGCTGATGTTTGGATTTTATAGCTCTTGGATCACCTTGTTTTAAAAATGATTTTCGGAAAAAGTAATATGCTAAGTACAAGTTAAAATTTTGTAACTCTTGAGTTCTCCTGTCCTTTTCCTCATAGTTTCTACATTTAACTCAGGTATTAAAGATGGAGTACTTTTTTCTCCTTAAAGGAAATTTCAACTTTGCAGGAAAGAAGAAGGAGCTATATAAGGAATCTCTACATTGTCATCCAGGTTTAATAATCAGTTTTGCCACACTTACCTCATCTATGGCTCTTTTTTTTTTTTTTTTTTTTTTTTTAAAGACAGGATATTGGTGTGTGGTCCAGGCTGACCTTGAATTCATTATGTAGCCCAAGCCGGCCTCAAACTCATTGATCCTGCTGTTTCAACCTCCTGAGTGCTGGGATCACAGGAGTGCACCACCACACCCAGCTGTTGTATTTTGTCTGTGACGTGGTCTCCCTATGTAGTCCAGGCTGGCCTTGAACCCCCTATGTAGTCTAGGCTGGCCTTGAACTTGCAGTGATCCTCCTGCTTCACCCTCTTGAGTGCTGGGATTACAGCATGTGCCACCATACCCAGCTGCTCCCTTTGTTTGGAAGTATTCAAAAGGAATTCTCTGTTATACCATTTTTCCACCCTTCCGTGCTTTAGTATACAGTTCTAGAAAGCTTTTAGCTATCATGCATAGCAATACCATCATCATCATCCGGTCCAACAAAAAATTTAAAAACCTTTATTATTTCATTTCCATGCACCATAACTTTTTTAAATGATCACAGTATCATCCAAAGACGTTTTGGAATTCTGTTTCAGAATATTGGTTAAATAAATGACTGTCAGCCTGTACACTGGATAATTGAATACATTATTGGATAGAAAAACAAAACTGCCTCCCTTCTTCCAGCTATACAACTAGAGAATTTGAGTGCTATATCTCCTGCTTGAGTATCCCTATGTATAAGCTTGTTGATTTCATTTAGTAAAATTTATTTGAACAGCTAGCATATACAACTCTGCTTAAAGATGTGAAGTAACCTTCGGGATGATCTCTAATCTCCCTGCGATTCTGTTATGACTTCACTCTTGTGAACTGCTGCCAGAGGAGTCCCTGCTAAAGAGGCACAAAGCACAAGATGACCCTCATGTGCCTGCTGCAAGCAGGTGACAGCTGTTGCTCAGCCAAAAAACATGAGTTTGGCATCTAACAAGCCAGGTGTCCCATGCGGCCCTGTCCTTACCAGCTCAGTGACCTCATGCAAAGCCCATGTCTTTTATGACTATTTGGGCTCCCCTCTAGAATGGGGGTGAGATTCTTTCTCACGAGATTTTTGGAGTCCCATCAATCTATATACCAAATGGTCACCAAATGGTCAGTAGTTATGCAGGAGGTCCCACATGCACTCCTAACTCACCCTGACCCAGTTTAGATTCATACGGAGGGGTGGGAGAAGCAGGCATTGGGAGAAGGGCAGAGATTTCTTCAAAATGGGGTGGAAATCTAATCACCTGGAAAGGTTCAGCTTGTTTGTACATCTGTGCATAAAGTGTGTAGCAGTCCCCTGCCGATGGCCTGATGAGAACCTAGTGCAGGACAAGGCTCTTGTTTCCAGTGGGATCTGGACCACGGTAGGGGGAACTTGTTATGCAGCATGTCGGATAGTTACCTAGCACGTCACTGCCTTACGGCTTATTCTTCTCTCTCCCGATTTGAGTTCTGATTATAATTTAGTTTTTAGTTATTTATACTCAGCCAACTCAAAGGAGTTGTTTTGTTTTAATCTGTGTATAGGCCTGAAGCTGTCCCGCAGGCGTTCCAAGGTCTGGGGCCTGGTTTCTCTGGCTACACAACCTATGGGTGGCTGCAGCTTTCCTGGTTCCAGCAGATCTATGCACGACAGTACTACATGCAGTAGTGAGTCCTTTCTGCTACCCTGGGTGTGACTGTGGTCCGGGAACTGAGGGAAATCCCATGCATGCTGTGAAGTTCCGGGTGGAGGGATGAATGTATTTGTGTCAGTCGTTGCAGAGCCTGTCCTTCATGGTTCTGTGGGTGGAGAAGAGCAGAAGTGATACCTGCTACTTTCTCTATATATTGATGCCTGGATGCTTCTGTCCGATACATAAGTTAATGCCTTTATTTAGTATAAGTTATTTCCTTTTTAACTTGTGGCGTCTTTAAAGTTGTGTGTAAATTTTAATTTGTTAATGCACTATAATTTTATAATGGCCTTGATATATAACTCCAGATGAAATTTACCATGTGGCTTATAGATACAACTCTTAGTAAAGAAGTTCTTCACAAAGTTGAAGAGAAGTCATGTGTAACTATACCTACTTAAAATTGTTAATAGTAAAAGACTCCTGTGTAAATAACATTATAATCTTCAAAGTTCTTTGCTCTCAACAGAATCTGCCTCTATTGCTTTTATTTTAGTTTAGCTGCCACTGCGGCATCAGGAGCTTTTGTCCCACCACCAAGTGCCCAAGAGATACCTGTGGTCTCTACACCTGCTCCAGCCCCTATTCACAACCAGTTTCCTGCTGAAAACCAGCCAGCCAATCAGAATGCAGCTCCTCAAGTGGTTATTAATCCTGGAGCCAATCAGAATTTGCGGATGAATGCACAAGGTGGCCCTATTGTGGAAGAAGATGATGAGATTAATCGAGACTGGTTGGACTGGACCTATTCAGCAGCTACATTTTCAGTTTTTCTCAGTATCCTCTACTTCTACTCCTCCCTGAGCAGATTCCTCATGGTCATGGGGGCCACCGTTGTTATGTACCTGTAAGCAGATGGTTTCTTTCCTTTTTTTTTTCCTTTCCTTTTTCTGCAAATTACACTGTTCTGTGATTCAAATCAAGTATAGATTTTCTGTTTTGAGTAGTCTTCAGTTATTGAAGATTTGTTTAGTATGTTGTTCTGGCACTTCAAGGACTTCATGGCTTGGTTGTGTATTCCCCAGAACACATTTATCATGTAATAATACAAAAGGAATATTCCTTTTTCTTCTAGATAAATTAGCTTTCAGGCTCATAAATGACAACAACATAGCCATATTGTATTTGTTTTGAATAAGAACATGTTTGTCTCTGTCAGGTTACAGGCCTTCCAGGATGAAGGTGAGGCAGTGTTAGCATAACCTTGAAGGTCCAGGGAACCTTTGCAGACCTGATGTTTGACTTCAGCTGTGGAGTAGGACAGTATTACCCAACTGGGGATAATTCTTTACCTACCCCCAGGGGACATTTGGCAATGTCATTTGGTGGTCACAGCTGCCCCCTGCTAGAGGTAGAACAAGAGAGGCTGCTTAATTTCCTGTAGGGCGCAGGACACAGGGCAGCTCCCACAGTAAATATCCTGCTCAGTGTGTCACTAGTGCCAGAGTGGAGAAAGCCTAGCCTAGAGTGACAGATCTTTGTGCTTGAAACTGATTTTTTCCTTTACACTACAAATTGATTTTTTTATCTTAATTTTTAAAAAGAGAAAATAGGGACATATTTAACATAACATGTATCTACACTCACTTAATATTTTGTCACATTTGAAGACTTGAATTTAATTAGATTTTCCAAATAAAGCTTTTAGTCAGTTTTTCTGTAGTCCCTAGGATTATGTATGTAAGTGATCAAATTTGGGTCCTTTTTATACTATGATTTACACACACACACACACACACACACACACTTCTTTGTGTATCAGTGTGTTTTACCCTCTCTATTCAGGTTGTCAAGTGTAAGACTTAGTTTTTAGATAAATTGGCATCAACTAAACACTTCCTATGTGCCGGGTGCTATTTTGTTACTGATGAGTGAAACACAGGCCCATGCAAAGGTCTTGACAGTGTGACAGATGGCTTTGCACATGTAGCTAATAGGGTGCTGCTGTGATTAGAGGAGCAGAGCTTCGATTCTTGTGTGGACCCCACTGTGATGTTGGCTAAGATGGGCTTTATGTGCTTCTTTTAAAGGCACCATGTTGGGTGGTTTCCGTTTAGACAGAGGCCTGTCCAGAACATCCCCAATGATGTTCCTCCTCCAGAAGCCGTGAATCAGGACCCGAACAACAACTCACAGGTACGGAGCCTCTGCTGGAGCCTGGGTGAGCTGCATGTCCTATGGCAGCCTCTCCAATCCTTAACCTTGAGATCTCCAGCTGTGTTGTTGACCATTTTATTAGGTTAGGGATTTCATGATTTCTTTCAGTTTATTCTTACAGTAGCAGATATTTTAAAACTTTCAACATGCCCTAAAATCCATCATGTATTTGTCATGTGTCAGTTGCCTTTTTGCATATGGAAGTAATGTTTTTTAGGCTCACCTTTTGGGATTCAGTGGTCAGTAACTGTGTTCTGTGATGGAAACTGCTAATGGATAGCTTTTCTTTCTTTTTCTTTTTTTGGTACCAGTGCTTGAACTGGGACCCTTGCTCTTGGGAGGCAGGTGCTAGAACCACAGAAACAGAATTTTTATAAGTCACGTTAATGCATGATTCTAAAGGAATACTTTGATAACCAAAATTGTCTTTGTATTACATTTTTAGACCTCTGGGTTTTCATTGTTTTCTTAACTCAGAACTGCTAAAATTAGAATATCTATATTTAATGAAATAGTTAATTACTAGTTTAATAATTGTTGAACATCAGGAACTTGCTCTGATACTTGCTGCTCTGATACAAACTGCATGAAGGCAGCAGCACAGTCATGCTGTGGAAGCTTGAGAAGAGCTCTTGGGAGGGGAGAATATCGTCATCCCAGGGCCAGGGTGACCACCCTGTCTGGCCACCTGGCGCATAGTACCAGGGCCAGGAACTTAGCCTTCCCTCTCTGTGTGACTGGAAGCTCATCATGGCCCTAATTGTTTTCTCCTTGTGTTTCACTACTGGTAGGAAGGCACTGATTCTGAAGCCGAAGACCCCAACCGCCTCCCCCTAGACCGGGAAGCCCCGGATGCCGAGCAGACCAGCCCTTCATTTATGAGCACAGCATGGCTTGTCTTCAAGACTTTCTTTGCCTCTCTTCTTCCGGAAGGCCCTCCAGCCATAGCAAACTGATGGCACTTAAGCTCTCAGGGCTAGAGGCATGGACGGGCGTGGACTGGATTTCTGACCAGCTGGATTTCCCCACCTGGACACGACGTGACACAGAGTTGTTACAAAATACCCGTAAGGATGACAATATGCTTTTGTGTCGAAGCAAAAGCAGAAAGATAGGAAGCCATGATACAAACTGATGAACAAAAATACCCAGGGCTTCTCATGTCTTTATTCTGAAGAGCTTTAATATATACTGTATATAGTTTATTAAGCATTGTAAGTAGACGGCATTAGATGTCGCATGTTTATGCCTGAGGAACTTTCCCAGATGTATGTCTGCATGTATGTTTGTACATAGAAGTCATAGATGCAGAAATGGTTCTGCTGGTACGATTTGATTCCTGTTGGAATGTTTAAATTACACTAAGTGTACTACTTTATATAATCAGGGAAATTGCTAGACATGTTAGCAGGACTTTTCTAGGAAAGACTTATATATAATTGCTTTTTAAAATGCAGTGCTTACTTTAAACCCAGAGGACCTTTGCAGAGGTAGAAACCTTTGCCGGGTTTTCTGTTCAATAAAGTTTTGCTATGAATTACTATGGCAGGGACTGCTGTTATCTTAGCCCTTCCCTGTGTCCATCATCACTGGGTAGTTAACAGTCACATTGCTAATTTTCAAGTGACCTGAATGCTGCTTTTATAAAAGGTCTGTTTGTACCAGTGAAGAGTGATAAGGCAAGGCCATGAAAGGTTTGTTTTTTTTGTTTTGTTTTTGTTTTTGTTTTTTTTCCTCTTTTCCCTCCCCTTCCAACCTTTTCCTTTTGTTCTTTTTGTACTAGGGATCCAATCCAGGGCCTTTCACATGCTAGGCAAGCCTGTCTGCCACTGAGCAACACCCCTGACCAGGCCATGAACGTTTTAATTTAGTAAGACTACTCCTGTTTTCCTTTTGGTTTGTTTATCAGTCCTGAGGATCAAACTCAGGACCTTGCCCTTACCAGGCAGGTGTGACGCCACTGAGTTGTATCCCTGGCCCCCTAAGACTATACCTGTAGTTTGCTCTCATTTCCTAATTTAAACATCACTGACTTATATAGGAACCCACCAAGATTAAAATCTCAAAATGTAAAAAATGCCAAAAAGTTAAAAAAAAAAAAATAGCATGCCTCAGGAACAGAGTAGCTATAAAAAGGCAGTGATAATATTGACAAACTGTAAAAAATGCTATCTGCTGGAAAGAAGATGAGGGCATGAGATTGGAGTTTGAAGAGATTTATGGGCAAGAAAGTGAGTGTGAAATGAAGTGGGTATGAAATGAAGGGAAGGGTTTGGGAAGCAGGAGAGAAGCACCCAGCAGGAGCAAAGCACAGCCATGATTTTGCTTGGTGTTTGAAGAAAGCAATTAAGAATTCATAAAGTCTTGGGTGGGAAAGCCTGTTGCTTTTCAGAGGCGAAGCCATCACCCTTTGGCAAGAGGCGTGAGTCTCAGGCAGCTGGCAGTACCCATCTCCTGTCTGTACAGGAATAGAACCATACACTTCTTCCTCCCTGTGGTGTTGGGTTTTGAGAGTTCAACTCCCTACTGCATGGCCCCCAAACCTAGAGTGCCAGCCAATTTTATGTACCTTTAACTAAAATGTTCTAAGCCATGAAATACAAGGTCACCCAGAATATAAGGATTCCACTAGGAGAATCCAATGGTGATATTTTGCGTGTTTCTATTGTCCAGTCATGCCATGGCTGACCAGGGTCCTCTACTCCTGGAAATGGTCACCAGTGCTGTTACATCTAATCAGATTAGAGAACCAATTTCAGGAACCCCAGATGACCCCCAATTTAGCAAATTCATCCTTAAGATTCTGTTTCTCTAGGATCATTCTTGTCACCAGAATCTATCAGTCATATCCCTACCAGCAAAAACAAGTAGCAAGTACAGTAGTACCCCAGCTCATAAATGCTTTTGTTTGCAAATAATTCGGTTCACCAGCAGAAGCATTTGGCAATATTTTGGTTTTATTTACAAACTGCATTGGGTGACGAACATGACTGCGGCCCTCTTTGCTTCCTGAACACAAATGGGGCCATCTTTTCCAGAATTGTGGGACAAATGAAGTTCACAGAGTACCACTAAACAATAAATAATCCCCCCCTTACCTGTGAAGGTGATTGAGACGCTCCCTAGTATCAAACCCATCTCTTAACCAAGATGGCTAAGTGCATGGTTACTGTGAGACAATGTGCACTTTCATCATACTACTCAGACTGGTGTGCACTTTAAAAACGCTGTTCTAGAATTTCCATTTGGTAATTTTAGTAGTAGTAGTAATTTTTAGACCATGGCTGGCTGTAGATAACTGACACCATAGATAAGGGGGCCTACGGTATTTGTATTTTCTGCTGAATGCAAGTGATCAGCTTACATGACCGAGGACTCGCCAGACAAGCATGAAATTTCAGGGCAGGTGGGAGGAAGTGATGCTGCAGTGCCCAGGCCTAATTTCTTTCTTCAGAGAAACCTCAGTTTTGCTCTTCAGGCCTTTCAATGAGAAAAGGGTGAGCCCAGGGCTTCACATTCCCCGCTGAAGTTCTCCATAAATGACCTGAAAGCCATATCTGCCCGCAAAAGAAACCCTCCAGTCCTGAGTAGCTGTGGAGATTTCTGAAAGTCAAGGCCAAAGTCTCATTTGGAAGTGGCTGAATTATTACACAAAGCGAATTCCCAACCTTGAAGGTGTCTTCTGGATATTAAGGATGTGGGGTAACGGAGAAGGAACATGAAGTTGGCTCTAGCTGAATTTATTGATGTGGGCTCACTAAGCAGAGATTCTTAATGCAGTACTTTGGTGTGAAGGGTTAGGATGGGTTCTGACAGTGACCAGTCTCTTGACTGGCTGAAACATAGACCCAAAAGTAAACCAAAGTGAGTTTTGGAGCAAAGCCTACTGTCACTGTGAGAGACAAGCTTTTTACTTGCTACTGCACCCTGTGAAGGCTGAAGTCTTCTTAACCATAGACCACGAAGTTGACATGACCTGAGCCCCCTGCCCATCATAAACTCAGTGTTAGCTGACCGGTCAGAACACACAGCTGGGTGCGCCAAGCAGTACTCTGTCAGTGGAGTATATACCATCAGGCTCTGAAGGTACAGGATACAAGAAGTGGCCAATGTCCACGGTCTCCACCCCGGCTACACTGCCTTCTCTCTCCTGGCCTGCCCATATGGCCTCCTGGGGAATTCCCTTTGATCACTGCCAGAGGAAGGGAAGACTCAGGTCTGGTTTATGGATGGTTCTGTGTGACAGGCAGGAACTACCTGAGAGTGGCCAGCTGTAACATTATAGCTCCTTTGTGGGACGTCCTTGAAAGACAGTGGTAAAGGAGAATCTAGTGGGCAGAACTTTGAGCAGTGCATCTGACTGTGCCCTTTGCTTGGAGGGAGAAATAGCCAGATGTTCAAATTTGTACTGATTCATGGCCTGTGGTTAATGGCCTGGCTGGTTAGTCTTGGATTTGGAAGGAAATTATTGAAAAATTGGCGACGAGGTCTGGGAAAGGGGCGTATAGACAGACTTTAGGATAGGTGAGGAACATAAAGATATTTGTATCCAGTGTGAATTCTTACTAAAAGGTAACCTTAGATGAGGAGGCTTTTAATAGTGGACAGGATGGCCTGTTTGATGGATACCAGTCATCCTCTTTCTCTCGCCACTCCAGTCATTGCCCAATGAACTCATAAATAAAGGGCCATGGTGGCATGGATGAAGGTTAGACCTCGGCTTAGCAAAGTAGATTTCCGCTCACCAAGGCCAACCTGGCTACAGCCACTGCTGAGTGCCCAGTCTGCCAGCAGCTGAGATGGTGCTAAGTCCCTGATACAGTCCCATTCCCCAGGAAGATCAGCTAGCTACTTGGTGGCAGGCTTATTACGTTGGACTGCCACCATTATGGAAGGGGAAGCATCTGTTCTTATTGGTAGAAATAGTTCCTCTGGATGTGGATTTACCTTCCCTGAACACAGTGTTTTTGCCAAAACCATCATCCGTGGCATTCCCCAAATGCCTTTTCCGTCACTCTGAGATTCCACACAGTTTGAAGAGAGTCAAGGAACTCTCTTCACAGCAAATAAGTGTGGCAGTGAGTCTACGTCTGTGGAATTTGCTGGCTTATTGTATTCCTAGTGTACTTGGTTGAATAGTGTCCACCAAAATGTATGGTCACCTGGGATCTGTCCGTGTGACTTTATTTGGCACTAGGATATTTTTGGAGATAATTAAAGTTAAGATGAGGTCATGTTGGATGGCTTTACAAGAAGAAGGGAATTAGAAGATGAAGTGCAGTAATGAAGACAGGCAGAGACCGAGACTGCACTCTCATCAGCCAAGCAGGACTGCCAACAGCCACCAGATGCCAGAAGAGGCAAGGAAGATTATTCTCTAGAAACTTCATCCCACCTCTCAATTTCGCCTTCCAGCTGGTAGAACTGTGGGGAAGCAAGTCTCTTATATCAAGTCCCCTCCCATCATTTATGATGATTTATTATAGAAGCCCTAAGAAAGGAATAAAAATTAGTGTCCTGAAGCAGCTGGCCTGATGGAGCAGTGGGTTTGCCTTTGGAAGATTCAACTTCATTGCCAGCCATGTGGCAGCACCTTGCAAGGTTGGGACAATATCTTCCAGGAGGTTTTGTATCCTCTAACTCAGCATCTGACATGTGATGCTGTTTCTCCAATGTTTTTGCTTCTCTTCTCAGCAGGCTTATATTCTGCAGGCCTGGAGGTCTTAGTTCATCTGGAGCACATTAGATTTCTTGGGCTGCTATAAGAGACTCACACAAACAGGATGGCTTAAAACAGCAGAAAGTCCTCTCTCACAGCTCTGGGGGCTTGAAGTTTAACATCCAGGTGTTGGTGGGGCTGTTTCCTTCTCAGGTGGGAGGGTCTGTTTAGTAGCCTTCCTGCTTCTGGGAGTCGCCAAACTCCTTGGTACTTTCTAGATTGTAGCTGCACTACTCCATTTTCTGCCTCTATCACTGCCCAGTCTTTTCCCTCTTCCTGTGTCTGTGTCTTCATGCAGCCATCTTAGGACACCTAATCTG